GGCTGTAAAGTTTCCATCACTGTCCACTCAGCACACTCACACAAGAATGTATTTACACTCACACGTATTTCTGCAAACAGTCGAACTTAGGAAAAGCAGTTTTGACTGGAGGTTTTTTTTTTGGGTGGACAATCATTGGGGAAGAAAAGGTGTATTTATAGCTTACATTCCAACTCTGATGATTAGACATCATTTATTCAAGGAAATGAATACATATCGACTTGTTAGTCCTTACCCATAAGGCCTTTGGATGAATGCTGGGTGAATCTGGGGAACACCGAAGGTAAAACCTGCAAGACAAAATAACTTCAAATACAGACAAAAACTGACTTCTAGCAACAACAACTTGAAATTATTTTTAAGATTCAAACCCTGAGGTACAAACAAACATCCTACTGGCTGGTCTTACCTGGCTGCATCACCCGAGGCTTGGCACCCAGGTATGCCAGGTTGACGTTGGCCTTCCTGCCATCGATGATCGGGTTGGGGTCCTTGCAGGCCCGATCTGCGGCTGCACGGTCTGCCATCGTCACCTGAGAGAAGGATAAACGAAGAGCTGAGGATGTTTTTAAAGGCAGTTGAGGGTTCAATAATGATTGGAGCTTGTAAGAAAGAGGGAAACCACATGTTTCAAAGAAGTATAAGTGTGTGTGTGTGTGTGTGTGTGTGTGTGTGTGTGTGTGTGTGTGTGGGTATGTGTGTGTGTGCACAGAGGCCTCCTTCTGTGTGCGCCTGTGTGGCCATCGCTGACAGTGGCAGGTATTTGACAGCACATACACATTTATCACCCTCGTGTGGATGTGATGAAACTTATCAGCAGTGAACGGTAGCCAGGCTGACCACCACAACCAAACCAAAGCCCTCAGTTCTCCTTTTACAGCCTTTAATTCTAATCAGAGGGATTCATGTGAGCTTGACCATAAACATTATCTGGGAGACAATAAAGTAAAGGTAAATAAAATAAAAAAAAGATGATTTAGAAAGAGCAGTAAAGAGAGGATCTAAGCAAACGTGAAGTTAAACGTTGATCCCAGCACACAAACGTAAATATTTGATTAAATCAAGGGTAGATAAGAATAAAATTAGGTTACTTAAATAAAGGCTCAGGCTTGGCTTCCATAATTCTTTTTTTGGATAATTCTCTTACATGTATATGAAGGTCAGCTTAGTCAAACTATATGTATATGTACAAATAAAGAGATTTATTATTGAATAACCGTGATGGTTGCTCGTCTCCAAACCCCCCCCAAACAACCCAAAAACATTAAACACTTTGGTTCTCAGGTTTGATGACAAGTCTCAGCAAGACGGTGTAAACTACCCTAAGAGGAAGAAACTGTGACCGTTTCGAAAACCCTGCTCTACAATATCAAGACATAATCGAGAGTTTTCTTTCAGCCCACCGCAGCTGCCACTGTGTGAACAGCTCCTTAAAAAAATGCGTGTCGGGGCGCATACCAGCGCGCAACAAGTTGGTGGGTGCGAGATTGCAACAGAAGCCAGTGACGAATTTAAGCAGGAGCTGCTTATCAAAACATAAACAACCCGTGACCCACAGATATATCAATGCTAGTCATGGTGTTGTGCAAGACAGCAACAGAAGCGAGCCTTAACAGAAGAAACGTGGTGACACGAATTTCTGGAACGAATAGACGCATATAAACTCCTGTGGAAAGCTGTGGTGTTACTGAGTGATACTTACAAATCCATAACCTCTAGACTTGCCGGTCTGCCTGTCGGTAATGACCACTGCTTCTTCAATCTCACCAAAAACTTCAAAATATTTCCTGAGACTGGAATCCGTGGTGTGGTAGGGAAGACCCCCAACAAAGATCTTCGTATAGGTCGTGTCCTTTTGCGTGGTGTGCATCGTTAGTGCAAAAAAATACAATAAATAGAAACTATAAAAAAATATAGTAGTAGTGCAATGTCTCCTTATCGATAATACTTTGGATGACTAGAGAGATAGAGAAAGAGAGAGAGAGAAAGTGAGAGATCAGTTGGCTCTAAAGTTTTTCATAGAAGAAAAGAAGACAAAAGAAGCCTGGAGGTAGATTTAAGTTCGACAGTAAGAGGGTAGAAATATGGAGCGGATTGTCCCAAAGATACCAGCAGGTGTTTCCAGCTCTTCTTGGTAACTCTGCCGTCTAACTAAATAGGTTTGGGACCCATTCCTAAATGCATTGCCTCTAACTCCACCCACTTTTTAGTTCCTCCCACCAGCGTGCACAAACAGCTGGGAAGTGCGGCTCAGTGTGAAACATTGGAGCTCCTTCACCACAAAGATCCGCGTTTAATGAACCATCAGGGCCCAACAAAAACCGATTCTACTGATGATTAGTGATGTGCGATACCACTGATTTCCTTTCCGATCCGATACCAAGTAAAATTCAGGGTGGTATCAGCGATACTGATCCGATACCGATACGCTGTACAAAAACTTAATGTTTCATTGCATTTCATAATACAATATATAATTGTATTATGTAATTGTAATAATAACATAACCATATTGCTTCATAATGATTAGAGGACATCAGACAACTTGTTTTTATTGCTTAATAATGCAGAATAATCATATAGAAATAAAAAAAAACTGATGTTGTGCGCTATTTGAGCATGTTGCCTGCCTGCAGCACTAAAGGACTCTGCGAGAGACATCTGTCTCGCCCTAGCAGCACCTGTCCCTGTCCTCCTCTTCTGTTCACCTCAACATAAGCTTATCATATTCTGTGATGTGATTTACTCTGAGGTGTTTGACGAGGTCAGTGGTGTTGCCACAACAACGTGTCCACACAGGACTCTGTTTGCGCTCAGCCATTGTTGTGAGTGTGAATGCCAGGGGCTGCGACACATTTATACAGCCGTATTCCACATATGACTATGAAAGGCGTAAGAGGAAGTAGTTCCTTCCAAATTAGACGATCCGAATTGTATAGTTTCTTTCCACTGCGTTCATTTTAATGGAAAAAACTACAAATTTACCCCAGAGTACTAAAATATCGATATTATAATATGATAATCGATTCTAGAACATAAATTGCTGGTATCGGAACAATCGATATTTCAGTATCGATCCGCACACCACTACTGATGATACGTTTGGCACAAAAAGTACCTGTGACTCAGGAACAGCTCAAGTGAAAAATAATTTGGATGTTTGGGGGGTTTTTTTTCACCCTCCACAGTGTTTTAGTTCTCAGTTGAACTAATGTAAACTAATATGTGAGCTGAACTGATTAATTAAGAAGTGATCTCTCAGAAAAATAAAGTTATTTTAAGTACTTTGGACTCACAATGAACAAATAGCACTAACTTTAAACTCAAGTAAACCATACTCACTTTCTACTGGCAATCTTTTAGTTTTGACAGTTTATTGCAAATACAGTTTTAGATATTTTACATTTATAGAATAAACTTTATTTATTTATTCACAAATAGAATGGGGGAAAAGAGTTCAGCCCTTTTATAAACAGCAGATCAACACCTTTGAAAATCCTCTGAGAAGATTCACAGTCCAGCTTGAATGGCTGGGACTACAGATGTGAATTAGTAGTTTGGTATAATCTGGCGCTTGCATCTTATATTTTTGGTGTATTGCTGTTTAATGGCATGCCTGTCCCTGTTGAATAAATAAGTAAAGAAAGAAGTCATGCACAATACGTGAGGGGTATGTCTTTAGAGAGTCTTAATTGTGTTGCTTCTTGAGTGGAAAGGTCATTAGTCCAGTGTAAAAAGTTTGAAACAGAGGTGTCAGTGTCGGATGAGGCCATACTGCTGCATCTCTCAATATCCTCCCGAACAGCCCAGAAGAGCTAATTCAACTCCGGTAATGTGAGAGTGAACTCTTCTATTAATCATTCATGGTGCCTCACTTCTGTGAGCTGGCCTACATACGTACATCTATCCTACAGTGAGCAGATACATTTACGGTGGGAGCATTACCAAGTGCTGTTCATTCCTATGTGGGAAGCCACTGATGACCAGTCTAAACTTTATGAAACTCAGATCAGTAAAGATTACTAATTGCGTTTTTATTCACCTCCAACCAAAATCTGTCTTCTTCCAGCTAAAAGAATGACAAGAGCCAGTGTTGTCACCTCCACCTGCAGGACGTCACATCACAATGAAATGCAACCTGATAAAGCGCCTTTCTGCCGTGTCTCCGTTCACTTGCTGTTTTATTAATGCAGCCACACGCCCTTAAAAGTCAGAATAAAGGGGGATTGATATCAGGTTTCTCAAGCTCAACAATGGGGATCCGGTTAGGTTGCATGCTCTTATTGTCTCTGCAGCATGCTGACTAGTCTGAATCCTCTAACAATATGCCGCCCCCCAATGAAAGCTTCATTTATTCTTTATCACCAGGAACCTTGAACCACTGCAAACATTAAGTCCACTTTGTAAATGCTGTTTCCATATTGGCTGTTTTTAGAGAAATTAAAACTTTAAATATCTGTCAATCATTTGCCAGTCAGGCAAAGGAAAGTTGAAGGTCAAAGGTCAAGGAAACAGCTGAATGGCCACAGTAGTCACACTTAGGTTTCAGCCCTAACCTCTCATTCAAAAATATGTTTTGATGTTCTGGTTTTTTTTGTGGTTAACCTCTAAAGCTTTTACATTTTATGGATTGTAATAAATGACTGATCACACACTTGTTTTTCACACACTCTCTGAACCATAAAAAACGAGAAAATGGGGATTTCCTACTTTGCCTTAAACACATCTTTTTACACCAAGCCCTTCCTCACATGTTGCCAAAAGCACTCATGGCTTGTCTTATAGAAGAGGTGCGCTAACTCTTCTATAAGACAAGCTGCAGCACACATTTAACCCACTGAAACAGTGCCACCTTATGTCCAACAGAACAGCTGCACAGAGTACAACCTTCACAGCAACGTGAGAGGATAACACAGCAATTTCTCTCAGTTATAGTGAAAAAAACAAACAAAGACCAAACAACCAAAAGCACTCACAAAAATCGATTTGGTCTTTTGGTATGAAGTGCATCAATTAATCTTTATTAAAGTGTTCAGTGAGGTAAAATGCGTTGAATTTAATGGAAAACCCTCATGTTCCAATGTGCTTTCATGTTTTTCTTCTGCAAACCTTCACAGCTTCAACATTAAGTTCAGTCACACATTAAATATACATTGTACACATTGCTAATACATTTATTTTACAAGCTTAAACAACTCTCAACTGTGCAAAATGAATGTATTTTTGGCTTAGTTTCTCTTCCCGTACCCCCTTGTGCTGATTGATGGCTGATTTGTGCAATAGTTTAAAATACTTCTTCTTTGTCATCTGCATGTTGGAAGCTAGAATCACACTCCAGCTCCCCTGAGGCTGTGAACTCTTGCACCTGGGTCATCTCTTCTTCTTCTTCCTTTTCTCTACTCTCAACTTCCCTCTCTGCACCCTCCCCTCGGTGATCTCCTCCCTCCTCTCTCCTTTCTCTCTTCCCTGCCTTCTTCGCCTCTTCCTCGCACTCCCTTTTGCCATCTCCATCCTCTCTCACCCACTCTCCTCCCTCTGCAGCCTCACGCATCACCTGGCTGGGATGTGGTGCCGCTAGCGTCTCCACAGGGGTGATGGACATGTCTTTGTCTTTCTCGGTGCTGGAGATGATGGCGGGGACACGGACACGTGCAGACTTGCTCCTTAAACGCATCTTGAGCTTATCTTCTTTTAACTGAAAGAGAGTGGAGAGTGCAAGATTTTTTTTTAAAGAAAACTCTGGTAAAAAACAAAACAAACCAAAAGACATGACAGAGCTGAGGTGTTGGGGAAAATGGTCATGCAGACACGGCACCTTGCGTCTCTCTTCAGCCAGCCGGATCTTCTCTTCAAACTCTTCTCTGGTGTGTAGCTTCTGAGCTTTCTTCACCTTCAGAGACTCCAGTCTGGCAGGAGGCCTGCGCCAGGCACCTTCATTGTCGTCCAGCTGATGCATACAAACGCAGAAAATGACAGAAAACACTTTATGCATCTTTTTAGACAGGCAACCTGTCTGTACCACGTCTCACGCCCTATGGCAGACGGGATAAGCTCCAGCCCCCAACCCCCCACACTCGTGACCCTGAATTTAATATGCAGAATGGAATGGACGGATAGTTTAGCTTATGAGTATGAGTTTATGGGCAAAGATGGAATCAGGCAGCTCATTTTGTGCTTGGTTCATGGTGTTCTTCCTTATTTTCTTTTTCTTTAGTAAAAGTTTGTTGAACCGCAGCATTATTATGGATGCCACAGATTCAGGGACAGTAGCAGTCAGGCTATGGAAAAAGTTTTTATTTCACTTTGTCAGATGTGTTGAGAAAAAAAAGCATCTTTTAGAATATGTACCCTGTTTATATCACTGTGCTTGTCTTTCTACTAAAAGTAAAGCTCCATTTGCAGTAAAGCTGTCAGATAACTGGCCTGTAAGGTCGTACCATGCTGTGCACACCAGGTACTCACCATGATGCTGTAAGCTTCTCCAACCCTGCTGCTCTTTTCTCTGTGCTGTTCCTTTGGGATGATGCCCTGATTCAGCAGTTCCTCCAGGATCTTGTGGGACTTCTGGCGTTCAGTTATTTCATTATCCCACAGAAGTACGTCTGGAAAAACAAACCAACAAAAAAACAAGAAATAAACAAACACATATTATACACTCAAGGACATCTTACAAGCAAATAAATAACAAAATCACAGTATAGATAAAATAACAGTTGAAGACATCATCGGAAAAAAAAAGTCAATACATCACAGAATTAAAATAAAACGGAATAGGCAAGCTTAAACAGATGTGTTTTAACAGTGGTTATAGAGAGAGGGAGAGAATCAGTGTTCCGAATGTGATTTGGGAGCGAGTTCCAAAGATGAGGAGCCACTCGGTTGCCAGCTCTAATGCCCATGGTCGTCAGGAGTGCAGAAGGTATAATGAGAATGACAGAGGATGAGGAGCTCAGAGAACAGGATGGAGTGGTGATGTGCAAAAGATCAGGGAGACCTGGAGGTGAGAGATGGAGAGATAGAGAGACTTAAAGGGCTTAAAGGACCAGGGCTGTCTGTACTGTGAAGGTGCTGAAAACCAGATTCAATTTGCTCATAGAGATGACTGTTAGTAAGGTGACAGTAAGGTGATGGGTCTACACTCGATTTCTTAAGAGTTGGAATTATCACAGCTAGAGGTAAAGGAAAAAGGCAGAGATTAGGGAGAAATGGATAATGTCAGTTATTCAATGAGTGAGAGAGGAACAAAATAAACAGGATATAACTGCCTGAGTGGAAAGTGGGTCAAGGCAACAGGTAGAAGGTTAAGATTTATCAGCAAATCCAGATATTTTCTCAACAGTTGAGAGAGTGAAACTGGGAAAGAGGAAGGCAGATCACAGTGTGCAACATGTGGAATTATCTAGACCCAGCTGCTGATGGACATTGCTCTTCTTGGTATTGAAAAAAAGGCCATGGAAATCCTAATATTCCATTCACCAGACTTGATTAATGTTCCATACATATATTCCATAAATATTAGCTGTAGACATGGCACCCTTAAAGTGGCCCATTTGTTCCTGATTTGTTTCTCTACAGCCTGATGAGTCAGACTACACACTCACTGTCCTGTGTAAATCTGTCCACTCACTTTCTCTGATGCTCTCTGATGTTAGAAGAGGGAGTGTTCGGGGCACTGCTCCAGGTATGTCACCAGGTATTTCTCTGTTCTCCATCACCACCCCGCTGTCTGCTGTGCCCTTTGACACAGCTGAGTCTCCACGACCGCTGACCTTACTTCCTGTGTCATCCTGACAGCACAGACACAGAAAATAAATGCAGAAAGGGGACATTATTAAATCCTGACATCATTCCTGTGGTATCACAGACATGAATTTGTCATGGTAACATCTGTGTTAACGTATTATCAATTTGTCATATAGGTTTACTTCACAGTCTCAATCAGCTACATTTTACAAAAAAAAAAGTACACCGAAATACATATTCACCTTTTATTTTCTTATAGTGTACACTGGTACTGATTAAACTAACCCGGCAGCATAAAACACAACTACAGTTTACTGCGCAAGTTCACAAGTCCAGTGTGAAATAAACCTACATAAAAAGTTGATTTCTTTGAGCCCCATATTGTATTTTTAAGGAATGCTTTTCAACTATGGTATAAACTATGAGGTTCGTGTGAAATATAAATTCATTCATGAGATTTAGAGGGGAAACCACTTTTATCAAATCTGTTGCAACTGACATGACCAAAAATGTGTCTTTTCATTTGTCTCTTCTTTTCTTTATTATAATCGTATAATAATAATAATAATAATAATAATAATGATATATATATGTATATATATAGATATATATGTGTATAAATAATCCCCATTTTTGAAAACAACAACAAAAGTTGCATTAAGAATTAATTAATGGGAAACTGCAATGAGACAAAACTGGATTCTTCTTCAGCCTTTAAGAGCAAGCCCAAACTTTTAGTCTTTATAAAAAGTAAGATATATTAACACTGATATTGCCAAACTTTTTTTTTCTTTTTGCCTTGACACATCTGAAGCTGGTCTGATAGGACTTAACCATCATTACTCAGGTTCGTACCACAGAAGAAGAAGCATTGTGAAGGCACCTGCCCTTGTTGCCTTAACTTTATAGTTTATGTGAGAGAGTTGGGCTATACCAGTCTTTCAGCTTGCTGTTTTTCCAAAAAAAGGAACAAAATGTTTTTTTCCCCTGCTAGAGAGAAGACTTCATAATAAATATCTATGTTCAAAAGGAAAATTTCACTTCCCTTACAACTTTCTATGAATTTTCTTTAAAAACTGTCACAAACAAACACCAGCTCTAGCGTCCTGTCCCCGGTTTTACTAGTGGGTGGTGGGACACCCAGCCTACCTCGTCTCCATTCACTGTCAGCGTTTGGACCGCGGTGATCGTGGAGTTCATGCATCCCATTTTCACCTTAAAGCAACGATGTGAAGTCAATCCTTGAAATTCATAAACCACCAGCTGTGTTTTGTTTTCTGGATTTCTTGTTGTTGTCTATGTGTTATCGACTGTTGTAGATTTGCATTCCTTCACTCAGACACTGCAGTCTCCATGGGTCCCGTGCGTTGCTAGGGGCCGTTGCTACAATAAATCTGACCTGGTCAAAGAGGTGATACTGCAAAGTCTACGTACAATGATCAAATTCGTTCATTTCTGATCAAATTTGTGCTTGCATCGTCCTTAAATGAACTCGTATGACAAATTTGTTGTCGGACTTCTGTTTGGGAGTAGAGTCGACTACAAAAGTATAATAGTGCCAGAAATCACTAGACGTGCATGTTACCAGATTACCACAAACAGAGGGCCTTGGTAAATAATTCAGCCAGGAGTCAGTGTGCCAAAAATAATTATATAAAACATGACCCTGACACATAAAACACAACACACTGTTCCGCTTACCATTAATTTTTACTCAGATACCAAGTTTCAGTGCGTGTGACCTTCGTTTCCTAAAACAACAACAACATGAAAATAAAATGAATATAAGACGAACGGACAGTGACAAATATCAACAAATAAGATACGCTTTTAATAAGCAAGCAGGGCCGGCCCGTGGCATAGGCCGTATAGGCAAATGCTAAGGGCGCCGTCCATCAGGGGGCGCCACGCCAGTGCCACAAATGTTGAAAAAAAAAAAAAGTTGGTACTATTATTTCTAAATACAAAAAATAATCCCACGTTAATTAAAATGCAAAGTAAAGCTTATTTAATAGAAATATTATTTGTTACAACATTACGCCCCCCCGCACGGTGCGCCCCCTCCCTCCCCGTATCATGGTTCCTTTTGGACGTCACCACATCAAAAAATCAACACAAGATGTCAAAACGGCCAAAGCTGTCAGGTGCCCAGGGAAGAAAAAAGAGAAAAGAAGAGGAGGAGAAACGAGAAAAAGACAGAGGTAGGTAACGTTAGCCTACATGAAATTATTTGTCTGAATGTGATAGTAACCTAAATTTTTAGCATTAAGCTAATGTTACATGATTCGCTAATTGCTAATCAATAAATAGCTAGTTAACTGTTTTAACATCAGTTAATATTGTGGAGGGGGCTAAATTGTTATGGAAAATAATAATGTAACGTTAGGTAATTACAGTACTCCCACCTTTCCTCATTTGTATTCATCTTTTAAGCAGGTGTTTTTTGTTTACATTGTTATTGCCTTCTGGTTAGCTAACGTTTACCCTGCAGGTAATAGTCACTTTTCCACCCCTGTATATAATATAGTTGTAAGCCTAGTTGTTAAAGTGCACATCATTAATGTTAATTAAGCAATATCACATGAGAGGGAATGCTGTTTTTTAATATGAGCACTGCTGTGATTCGGTCAAAGATAATCATAACATAACATTCTCATATGATATTATACTGTTACTTTGCATTCTGCTATTCAGCATTTCACTGTAATGATGACAATAAATTGAATCTAATCTAATTTGCATATCAGTTAACATCATACATATATCTCTTTGCTTTTTCATTTATATTATATAATTTCATTTTATTCCTGGAATCATATGTTTTTATTATTAGACTTTAATACTCAGTGGTGTCACATACTCCTCTCTTCAGATGCACTGTTGAAGTTTCTAAATCCCACCCCTGGGCCATCTACCACATCTACCGCTGCTGCCTCCACTTCAGCATCACAACCCACCAGTGATGCAGCTTTAGCAGCACAACCCAGCCATGATGCAGCAGCATCAAGCGGTCTTCCTGTTGCCTCCACCTCAGCAGCACAACCCACCAGTTTTGCAGCAGCATCAAGCGGTGTTATTGTATTTCATATATTCATTTTTTAATTTTTTGTATTCATTTATTTATTCATATATTTTTTTTATCTTGTTAATTATTCTGATTGTGAATTTGCTTTCTTTAAGTAAAAAAAAAAGGTCAAAGACAAAGCTATTCGGTTTCTTGTGAGTACATACACTACACTGCCGATGTAGGGGGGCGCCACCTGAAATCTTGCCTAGGGCGCCAGATTGGTTAGGGCCGGGCCTGTAAGCAAGATTAAAATAACAGTTCTTCTTTCTTGGGGAGAAGGTAACATGCAACTTTCTGTTTTTTTCCAGTTCTGAACAAAAACCACAAAATACATCAAGGCAGTTGCCTAAGTATGGGCTTAATGAGGGTTATATAATATTGGACAGGTAGTCTGATATCCTGAAAAGCGAGGGGAAAAAGCATCTTTCAGTTTAACTATTTTGTCTGCTGATACAACGGATAGGCTTGGTCAATTGTGGTACAATAGCCATTTGTATAAGAGGTAACATATGAGAGAGATACTCCCTACAGTATGTGACAAAATTTGATTCGATTTGATTGATGACCCTAATCATGACCTTTTGACCTCCCCCCTCCCCCCCGGAAGTGTGTAATTTGATCCCCTAAGCGTGACGAATTGCATCCGGAGAAGGGAGGGGGAAACCCCCCGGAAGTGTGTAATTTGATCCCTAAGCGCGCCACCTGTTGCGCCACCTGTTGTTGGAAAAAAAAGAAAAAAGTTTTTAGAGGGAGGGAGGGGTCTGCGGCATGGGAGGGGAATAAAAGCAGAGAGGAGGAGACCGTCACAATTTCTAGGCACAGACGCAAGATGGATCCTTTCATTCTGCAGCCCAGCAGCGTTCCTGTGTACTTGGACGGCGAAGAGATCTGCTCTCCCGAGGCCGCTAGCATGGGAGGCAGCAGCAGCGAGTGGTCCTCGTCGATTAAATCAAATCAAATCACTTTTTATTGTCACATCACATGTGCAGGCACACTGGCACAGCACATGCGAGTGAAATTCTTGTGTGCGAGCCCCACAAGCAACAGAGATGTGCAAACACAACAACACAAACGAGCAAAATACAAGAATGGCCAACCTGAAACTAATAAATATATGTACAATATATAATAGTGTATGCATTTCTGGATGTGTATACTAAATATTTTCCTACGTGTGTGTGTGTGTGTGTGTGTGTGTGTGCGTGTGTGTGTATACACATTTTTACAAATTAAATAGTAAAAAAAAAAAAATAATAATAATAATAATAAAATATATAAAATATACAGAGTTGAATATGTGCAAAACAAGTGGCATTTATATACAGTGTGGAGTGCATAATGTTGAAGTTCCAGTAGTGAAGCTGAGGTGTCTATGACGTGTTCAGCAGTCTGATGGCCTGATGGAAAAAGCTGTCTCTCAGTCTGCTGGTTCGGGACCGGATGCTGCAGAACCTCCTTCCTGATGGAAGTAGTCTGAACAGTTTATGGCTGGGGTGACTGGAGTCCTTGATGATCCTCCCCGCTTTCCTCAGGCAGCGCTTCCTGTAGATGTCTTGGAGGGAGGGAAGCTCACCTCCAATTATCCGTTCAGAGCACCGCACTACTCGCTGGAGAGCTTTGCAGTTGTAGGCGGTGCTGTTGCCATACCAGGTGGTGATGCATCCAGTGAGGATGCTCTCAATGGCACAGCGATAGAAGGTCCTGAGGATGCGGGGGCTCATGCCGAATCTTTTCAGTCTCCTGAGAAAGAAGAGGCGCTGCTGCGCCTTCTTCACTGTTTTGTTTGTGTGTACTGACCACGTAAGATCCTCAGCCAGATGTACTCCAAGGAACCGGAAGCTGCTCACTTTCTCCACAGCAGCGCCGTTGATGGTGATGGGGGTGTGTACTTCTCTGCACCTCCGGAAGTCCACTATCAACTCCTTTGTCTTTGCGACGTTGAGGGTGAGATGGTTGTCTTGACACCAGTGGGTCAGGGCGCTGACCTCCTCCCTGTAAGCCGTCTCATCACCGTTGGTGATAAGACCCACCACTGTAGTGTCGTCCGCAAACTTCACAATGATGTTGGAGCTGTTAGTGGCTGTGCAGTCGTAGGTGTAGAGTGAGTACAGGAGAGGGCTCAGTACACACCCCTGTGGAGCACCAGTGTTCAGTGTGACGGGGGATGAGGTGATGCTGCCCAGTCTGACCACCTGGCGTCTGTCAGACAGGAAGCTAAGGATCCAGCTGCAGAGGGAGCTGCTCAGTCCTAGATCCTGCAGTTTCCTGTCCAGCTTCGAGGGAACGATGGTATTGAATGCTGAGCTGTAATCTACAAACAGCATCCTCACATACGTGTCTCTCTTCTCCAGGTGTGACAGGGCAGTGTGTAGTGTCAGGGCTATGGCATCATCAGTGGACCTGTTGTGGCGGTATGCAAACTGTAGAGGGTCCAGTGAGTCGGGTAGTGCAGAGCAGATGAAGTCCCTGACCAGCTTCTCGAAGCATTTGCTTACGATGGGGGTCAGGGCTACAGGTCGCCAGTCGTTCAATGAGGAGATGGTGGAGGATTTGGGTACAGGGACGATGGTGGCCATTTTGAAGCAGGCTGGGACTACAGACAGAGAGAGGGAAAGGTTGAAGATGTGCGTGAACACTCCAGCCAGCTGAGCCGCGCATGACCTGAGGACGCGGCCGGGAATCCCGTCCGGACCAGTAGCTTTGCGTGCGTTCACCTTCCTGAAGCACTTCCGCACATCCTCCTCAGACACAGTGTGCGCACTGACGTCATCCGCGGTGCGCACACTGTCCGGTCTCATGGTGTTCGCTGTGTCGAATCTAGCGTAGAATACGTTTAGATCCTCACACAGAGAGGCCGTGGTCTGCGGTGTGCTGGTTTTCCCTCTAAAGTCTGTGATCGTGTTTAGTCCCTGCCACATACTTATCAGATTATCAGCGACAGATTATCAGCGACACCCCCGTCACCGTCTACAGTAACAGATCCGAAGCAACCGCCGCTCCGCGGAAAGAAGGCTTTGAGTATGACATATTCAAATACAGCATATTTACTATGGAAGGCCTCGATCCAGACCTTGCGACCCTACCGGAAATACTCCGGAAGTGTCTAGTCATTTTCAGACCTGATGCGTCATGTTCCATAAGCATGAGGGGAGGGGTATGGTTGCTGGGGGGAGATCAGAGAGGGTTCCTGAAGCATAGGGGTGATGCAGCAGCAGTTGACTCTGTGCTGTATAGAGAGACAGAGCGGCAGTTCGTTTTCCACAAACTCATAGTTTGAATTCTGTTTCAATATTATGACAATTTTCTCTGTATTTCTTTTTTTTTTTCTTTTTTTTTTTTACAATAGCGGATGTAATTTTACTTTCTTAAGCTGCACCGGCGTTTGTAATGGAAATTAAGAGTGACTTCCTGTAGAGATTTCAATAGTATTTTATTTT